CGAAGGCCGGCAACTGTATATTAGATACAATACGGACGCAAATGTCGTGTTGCGTGTAAAATGTAAGCATCTAATTAGTTATGTTGTTATGTTATCATCCAACAACAAGAGATTTTAACTGAGAAAATTCAAGGAAACGTTTATGCAAATCAGGAGAGTGCTATATATATGTTTGGACACAACAATTGATTATTAAACATTGATTTCTTTTTAGAATTTCGTAATATTGTGAAATGTAACAAACAAATTCACGTTCTTGATAAACCACCCATTAATACTTTTGCTTAAATTTGTTCCCAAGTCCCATGCTCTCTATATTTGTGGTTCGATAACTTAAGCAAGCGACGTTCTTGGCAATATGGACGCCAAAGCGACGCCATTCGAGCCGTTATAGATGGAAAGTGATGGCGACAGCCGGTCTTGTTTGAAATCACAAAGACTGCATGCCCTTCTTGATTTCAAACAAGAGCGGATGTCGCCAGATATAACGACTCGATTGACATCAGGGTGGCGTCCGTGTTGCCAAAAACGTCGCTTGCTTAATACAATGTTAATTCTTGTCATTCAGTACTAGTGTAAAATTGACTGTTAATGGATTCAGGGGAGCAACAATATGTAATCAATATTTGGGCGCTCGAAATTTCCGCGGGCTCCGTACCGATTAATGTTTAATTGGAACAGTCCTTAGCCAATCAGAAACGAGCAAATTGACTAAAAGGATACCAATAAAATAATTGTACGGCTCTCCAGCAAGCAAATTGAAGTAAATTTGTTAAAATAAATAAAAACATGAAAATCTGCGCATGATTGTTTTTAGGCGAGGTTAAAAGGATTACAATCCAATTGAAGAATATCACAGTGAACTGCAGCGCTTTGTCGTACGTATAAATTATGTTATAATTTAGGGTCACTATTAATAATCGCTAAGAAAATTGATGAACAGTTTGCTCTAACCCAGCACAAAGTTTTTCAATTCAGCACTTGTGGACTATTTTGAAAAAGAGAATCCTTCCAACTTAGCCTAATTGGGTTTTTTTTTCATTATCTACCATGTTTGTAAGAGACAATAACACAATATGGCTAATTAACGGAGTTGTATTTATTGATTTAAAGAAAGCTTTTGATACGATCGATCATCAAATTATCTTGCAAAAGCTTAAAAATTATGGTATTGACGAAAACAATCTTACCTGGTTTCATTCATATCTCACTGACAGAACCCAAAAGTGCCGTGTAAATCGTCAACTGTCAGATTCTGTGCCAGTGGCCTGCATGCGGTGTCCCTCAAGGTATAGCAGTCTAGGGCCATTGCTATTACTTATCTACATTAATAATTTACCGAACTGTCTTAATCATACAACTGCAAGAATGTTCGCATGCAGATGATACAAGTATTAGTTTTGCGTCCGACTCGGCCAAAGAGCTCCAAAATGTCATTAACACCAAATTGAAAGATCAAAACGATTGGCTTACCACTAATAAACTAAGCTTAAATATTGTAAAAACCGAATCCATGGTAGTTGGATCTAGACAGAGAATAAAAATACTAAATAATGAAATAGATATTGAGAGAAACGGTAATATGGTCAACCAAGTTACTTCGGTAAAATCTCTGGGTGTCCATCTTGATAATCACCTGATGTGGTCTGAGCATACTGATAAACTATGTAAAAAAATTGCTTTAGCTAGAGGGGCTTTAAAACGTATAAGATCCTGCATTTCAATGAACACGGCTATCCAAGTATACCAAGCACTGATTCAACCTCATTTTGACTACTGCTGCTCCGTCTGGGATGGTCTTGGCGAAACGCTAAGTTCTAAACTACAAAAATTACAGAACTGGGCGGTCAGGGTCATTACGAGGTCCAGCTATGACACTAATGCTACTGTGCTTCTTGATACTCTAAAGCTGGCTTGATGTTCAAAGCACTCAAATGTGACACACCTACCTATCTACAGAAGCTTTTCTCAGTTCGTGGCTCAGATTATAATCTTAGCAACTTTGAAATGAAGTTAAATCTATACCCAAATTAAGCCACGATCGAACTAATATCTGAAGCGAAGCTTTCAGTACGGTGGAGTAGTACTGTGGAATAGCCTTCCCGAAAATATAAGAATGCTCCAATCGTTTGCTCAGTTCCGGAAAGCTATGAACAAATATTATAATAGTTTAGATGAACTCCCACACGGCAATCTGGTAAACCAGTAGATCATATTCTTTTATTTATTTTTGCATGATTAATATATATATTTATAATATAGCATTTGTAAATTCTGAACGCTGATTGGCTAAGAGCCGTGTTGATATAACTCCATGTCAACACGGGAAATTTTCCGCCGCTTGTAACACGGAAATTGTTCTTATTCTTCGGGCTTTTGACATTGCTATATTATAAAACAAATATAAAACATTTTTTCCGTATTGATATATATATGTTATTTACCGGCTGCGAGGTCCGGATGAGAAAAACTGTGCCCGAGGTCTTGAAAACGGCCCGAGCCCGAAGGGCGAGGGACGTTTTCAAGACCGAGGGCACAGTTTTTCTCATCCAGACCGACGCTGCCGGTAAATAATGTGTTTATTTTTTATGAGATGTAAAAATTAAATTCATTAAAATTCCAGTGTTGCTTGCGAACTAATTTGAGATCAGTGTAGTTGTGTATTTTCAAAGCGAGGCCACAGGCTGACAAAAATTGAAAAGTTGAACTTGAAAGATATAAAACACGAATACGAAAGTCGAGAAAATTGGCAAGAAACACACAAAAAGACGTATGGTTTCAGTAAAAATGTACATGCTTTTTTCATAAATATGATAGCAGAGAAGCTTTGGAATAAAAACTTTTATGCCCGGCGTTTTAGCTTTGGCTTTGACAAAATCAGTTGCTCCTGAGTCCTGACAACGACAGGTTCATGTTCAGTACCGATCAAAAACATATAAAAATGAATCTGTTTTGATTTAATCATCGTTTTTCTACTAAAAGGACAATGAAAAAGGTATGTTGTTTTTATATTTTTGTATTTTTTCTTCTCGTCTCAGGATAATATGCTTGAAAAAAGTGTTTTTAAACACAAACTTTTACTTTGTTTACAATATTTATATCAGTGAAAAATGCATGACACAAATGGGTAGAGAATATATTCGTGACTTGTTTTTACTGCTGCAGTTAAACCTTCTTTTAAATGGGAAAACATTTATTTTACAATTTCTGTTTAATTAAGCTGTAATTTTTTCGCTTTTAAGTGGCCGAATACATGAGCATTTAAAAAAATATGTAGTTTTCTCGACGTAAGTTTTATTCATGTCAAATATAAACTTTCCGACTTTCAGTCACATTTCTATCAAAATATTGACAATTCTGGTGAACATCGTGCTTAGTATGAAGTCTTTAGGGCTTGATGCAATTCATTTTCGTATTCTGACTATCGTTAGGCTATGTTTTTCAAACGTTTTTGGCAGATTTTTTCGTTTAAAAATTGTTTCACTCCTCAGTTTTTGGCGCGAAATCCAGAGCGGGCAGTTGCATTTCACAGCGGGCAGTTGCGTTTCAGAGCGGGCCGGATGCAAAAAACCGGCCCGCTCTGAAAGGCTCTCAGCCAATCAGATTGCTTCATTTTCACTGATAAAAAATAAATAAACATATTGCACTGTTTCCTAGCTTGAATAGGGTTACATATAAACATATATTGCTTATTATTTTTTATGCAATGTTTATTTGGTAAGTAATATAGTCACCTTACCATGAGGATTTCAAAGTGACTTTTAACAGTGGCCTATGATTTTTCGTAGGTTTTAAGCGTCCAGCATAGACCAGCATAGTGCCATCAAAACGATTAAATACAAAAATTGACGTAAACGTTTCGTATTTTTTGTCGTTTTACTGCTTGTCCGGCAGATTTTTAATTGATGATGATAATAAATATTTTATATTTATACATTAATTTATAACTTGCGTTTTGTTTTGCAATGAATCCAAGATAGTTAATTAGAAATTTGCTAGGGTATTTGCTCCCGGACTAGTTCATAGTCCTCTGTGCACGCTTTTAATTTCCATGACGTCGCCGAAAGAAAGGAGCCGTCCCCTCATTAATATGCAGAAACGCGAAATAGGCGTACTAAGAGACCTAAGGACTAGGCAATTAAGGACTAGGCCGCTTTCCTCCACAAGAGGTAAGAGCTTGGGAACGGAGTTGACAATGACCCGAAGGGAACGAGGTTCGATCCGAAGGTCTTTGGACGGGAAGTCAGGAAACGGTAGTTGTATCTCTATCAGTCCGCACTATTCTATATAGTTTATAGGTTTCGTCCTGTAGTTGTATGCCCTTGAATGTCCTTAATAATTTTTTTTGCTTTAGTTTTTGGATATTTTCTGAAATTGCTTGACATCCAAAACGGACATTTTGTTGACTGATTTTGCATGTTCGTATCTGACACATCTGTTTGAAACTGATTAAAGTTGCGTTTTGAAAAATTCAACGTCGCATTTTTTAGAGTAAATTAGTAAATCCAAATCAAAGGCCGTTGAGGCTGACTCACAGATGAGATGAAATGAAAGTGACAGAAAGAATTAGAGCAGTTTTCAAAGCGAATTTTGCCATTTGTCCTGCTTCTTTTGCCAAATCAGAAGAACGAACGCGTGCTCGTCTCCAGCTCGATTTCCGGTTCGGTAAGGCCCGATTCGCAGGCAAATAGTGCGCGCAAAGCATGCTGGTCATTTCCCATTGTTTAACTGCCGCACACTCAAGTACAAAGACTCACAGATGTTGCTTCGAAGCATCCGTGAGTCAGAAACCACAATACAACAGATATTCATTCTTAGTTCATTTAGAAAACTGGTAGTTTATTGAACATAAATTTACATTTCATACTGTAATATAACATAGAGATATAAAACTTAATACAACCAACTAGCTCTTTATATAATTAATGTATTGAAATTCTCTATCAAACACAAATTCCTTTATGTGTTTTAATTGTTCTTGGGCGGTGAAAGCTGACAGCTTAAACTTGGTAGCGAGGGCATTTTGCCTTCTTTGGCTTGACTGAGTAGTAATTACAACATTGTGATACTCTGGTATCGTAGTAGAAGTAACCACAGCATGAATACCTGGATTTCTTATCGTGTACTTTACCACAGCAACAGATTTGAGTAGTAGGATTGTAGATTTGGTTGCCACAATCTAGTAGAAAGGAAAAAGAAGCAATTAACATTATGAAAGTTATCAGAGTAAGAATTGTGATGGTTTTCATCATATGCTGCAGTTTTGTACCACAGTAGATTTGTGACGCCCACCATTGGTTACATTTTTTCACAGCAGATTCCACTATCCAGTCATATTTTCGAGATCAGTGGTTGTAACGCTATAGTTTTGAGACCGGTCATTATTTATGGTGCGTGATGGCACCATTATAGATATAATGGTGCCGAAGAGAAAAGGGTTGGATAGACAAAATTTTGAGTGAGTAAACCAGTGAGTAAATGAAAAAGAAAACAACTCAAGGCTTGGGTGACTCACTGAAATATTGGAGATTTTTTATTGATATTTGAGATATTTTACTATTTAATGGTTGAGTCAACAAAATTTATACCATGAAAAACATTTCTCTTCGATTGCCTGCCCCAACCACCATAAATAATGACCAGCCATCCTTATATACACAGTATACTTACAGAAGTATGGGCAGTAGGGGAAATGATAAGCACACGCCCAGTTACCACCAGTCTGACAGGTGCTAAACGATAGGAAATGTCAGTTAATTATGAATCATTTAGTAAGAGGGGTTGGTGGGATAATTTTGATTGCTTTTTATAAAATGAATAAACTTATTCCAGCAACAAAATTCGCGTGCCGTGTCAGGCTAGCAAACCAATTTTGAACATGTGTTCTATTTTCAGCCTGTTGCTCGGTGGCATAGACATGGGGGGGATGACGGGTTCATCCCCCCCCCTCTCTTCGGGACCAATTGGTATTTTTTCCAAAACTGAAGAGAAACGGGGAGCGTAACCTCGTAATGTTTTCATCTTTTACATAAAGTATACCAAATCTGTAGCTTTTAGATTATAATAAAATCCCAGTTGTTCTGTGTATTCCACGATTACCCCTTTAACATATTATTGTATTTAAACTGTTGCCACTAGCAATGTATTCGGTCGTTTCATGCGAATAGTTGGTTATTTTTCTGTTCACATTTGACTTCCGCTACCGCTAAGCGACAATCAACCAATCAGATGCGTTTGATATATTCAATTAACCAATCAGATGTTGCGCACTGAGCCTGTTAGAGGTATTGTGGCAGCGGTTGTGGCAGTCAAATCTGAACCTGTATAATACTGTATAATAGTGCTTTTACGACTGTAATAGTTTGAAATTAGGTTTTAATGAAAAACATTATTATTTCAATTTTTGGCTTCTGTCTCTGATTGTAATGTCCACAAAATGGAATTGACCTACATGCTATATCATACGTATTTTTGTTGAAATACAAAACATTTACTTTTATAGTATTCAGAATTATTTAAAATCACCTCCCAAAATGAACGAAATGGCAATTTCAAAGGCTCCACATACTGAATTACTAATGAACTAGAAACGGTCTTGGCGTCTTGCGTGCAATACACGCGTGTAATCGTGGTTTATATGAAGAGTTTAGATTTACTCACCATTTCATACAACTACAGCGAATAGCAATTCCGGGTTTGTACCAAACTGCGATGCCCCAATGACAAACTATAGAATATATGAAAACAGAAAAACGCGTCAGTAAAAACATACATTACTGTTCAATAAAATATTATATTTAACCAATATTCAAGGCAAATCATTCGAACATCCATATCTAATCATGTCGGACCAAAAATATTTGTAATTCTAGATATTGACTATGAATATGTAGGGTCAAATAAGAAAAAAACGTATTCCGAATAATAATACCATATGTCTTCATGTAAACATGCAAGATATGAATTATTTGAAGAAACAAAATATTTTCTGTTTGTAAATATAGCGCCTCCTATATTTGTGTCGTTCGTTCCAGTTGATAATGTCATCTTCCTATTTCTTTTTTTAAACATCTGAGCACACTTGTAAATAATTAGTTTGGTTTGATACTGGCACTGAAATCGAAATATCAGTGATTATCACCACCAATATTTGTGTCTTGTTTTCTTTAAATAACTCGTATCTTGAGTTTACAAGATGGCATTATTAGTCGGAGTAGTTTATCTAATATAGGGTCATTGTGTCGCTTTTTATCATCATTTTTTTTGTTGAAACTGCTCCCGGAATGCAGGAATCAACGTTTTTTAGCCTTAGAAAATGAAACATTTTCTTGATTTCAAGAAGTATCTTGGCGGTAAATCCATCTTGGGACAGCTTGGAACACATGCATGTATGTGACAGTGTATGTGCTGTACATGCAATGTTGATACATTCATGTGTAAAACGTTTTTGTGACTTGGTCATTTCCCAAACCTTCTTTGCAATTTTAAGGTCTCTTCATTTTAAGGTAGTTGACTTAGAAAGACTGCAATATTTGGTCGGTCCATGACTAGTTATATTAACTTGGAAAGTGCAAAAATGGTTTAAACCCATTGATCGTTTGTTGTAATTTTGTATTGTATAGCTTTGTTAAGTTTGTAACCCTGTCTCTATTGTTTTACAATGTAATGTGTATAGGTATGGACTTAATTTGGGATTCCCCAGTCCTGTTGTATAAAGTTTATAAATAAATAAATTAAAAAAAACTTAAATCCTACAGTTGCACGCGGGGATGTTTCGTGTAACAAAAAAGCCGAACAAACTTACATCCTTTATTCTTGATTGAGTCAGGGTCATTGGCGTCGTTTTGTACGAGAGCAGTCGACGTTTCAGTGTTTATGTCTTCCATGACCATCTTCGGCTCTTCATCATTTGCGCTTTCTTTTTTCTCAGGTGTTTCATAGTCGTTGCCGAATTCATCTAAGAAGGTAAGAAAGAAACTTTACTTGTACTGAAAACGAGCAGTATGTACGAGCAGTTGGCCTTGACAACAACCTTATTGCAACTTGTTTGCAGATCTCGGTAACAACTATAACTTGTCGTTTTAACATCATGTGCAGTGGATAACTCTATCACGCGCACTTCCAAGAGGTACTTACCGACTTTAGCCATTGCGATACCGGCCACCAACATTAAAACAACAATTTTTAAAGACATGATTCCTTTCTTATGGTTTTACTGCTTTTCTTCAAGTGACAACTTTCCTCTGTTCGACTGTTGCAAGAGTGATACTTTCGAAGCCGTATCTTGCGTCTTTTTATACAAACGGACTACCACTTGAAAATGCAGTTGTACTCTAAAATCTTTTGTCTTATCAACTATAGACAAAACCTTTTACTAGGTCAAGCGTTTTTGTTAATGTAAGTATACAGACACTCTTAGAATATGTTTTAGCTACATCCGATGCTAATATTGGCTTTGGGCTGCAACGCAGTGTAGTATAGTTTCAGTTGGTATAGTATACATATATAGTAACAGTTGTGATTTGCAAGACTCAGGAATTTTGAATTCATATAGAGGAATGTGTAGGCTGTGCCAGTCAGGGTCACTATTTCAGTTTGTATAAACATTTTTGAAGCTTGTCTAAAAAAATCAAAACAACAAATGTCTTTGTTTAAAATTATGACATGAATTGATTTCATGATTACATATATAGTCAGCTAGCTATAGTCAGAAAACTATAATGCCTGATACAATGATTATCAGTTCGCTATATATACTGTAGCGAATTAAAATTTAAAGTAGAGAGTGGTTTTGACTATACTTAATTAACCTTTTTTAAGACAGTATACTCTGTTACTTTTCAAGCAAAAATCGCTATTCGCTATTAATTTTCAAATTTCTCATCACTCGATTAGACGTAAAATAAATATATGACTGAAGATAATGGCAATGCCGCGTGTTTAGTTTATATATAGCTTTACTTTACTGATACGTTTATGCGGATTCAGTCTGTTTAGAGTTTAAGTATAACACTTTCTGCCTTGTCATTCGAAGCACTATAGTTATACAAATTAGAAGAAGTTTTAACATCGATGTAGGCTAAATTACAAATGTGGATAGCAACTGATACCTTGTCGTACCAAAGTTCATGTACATGTACATAATACGTACCATTATTACACCAATGCACCATATAATGGGTGATGCCATGCAGTATAAGGCATGGGTATATATATATCATGATTCATGATTTGTGTTTATTTTTGGCGTGCATCTCGCTCGATATAACTGACAGTTGAAGGGATTTTTTGTAGTGTAGATGGAAATTTCGGGCTGGTTACAAATTAAACAATCAGTTTAGACTTAACCAGCGGCAGCTGCATGCGATTCTTGCCAGAGGGCAAAGACCTGTATATAGTTGTAGCTGCCTATATTTTTAAGTAGCTGTATATAGCTGTAGAGAACTATAGAAAAGATTTGTAATGAACGCATAGAAACCTGCCGGTAAGTACTCGTGAAACATCTTGATGAGTACATTCGTATTCTTCAACAATAGAATACGAATGTAATAAATTAATGATATTTGGTGAGAATTTAACTTAAAGTTCATCTAAATCAGCATGATTTTGCATCAGATATACAAACTCCTTCAGGCTTCATGCTCATGATTTCTTTTGTGATTTCTTCATCGGAATTATTAGTGTGAGTAATTTTAGACCTAACAGAAGCAACTGCGATTCTTGCCAGAGGGCCTGTAGACTGTGGTGTAGCTGCCTACATTTTTAAGTAGTTGTAGCGAACTAGAGAAAAATTGTAGTGAACCCATACATAGGAACCTCGTGAAACGTCTTGATGAGAAGTTGAGAACATTCGTATTCTTCAACAATTTAAAATAAATGAATGATATTTGTTGAGAAAGTCCATTCGTATTCTTCAACAATTTAAAATAAAATTTGTTGAGTAAATTTAACAGTTAACCTTTATATAAGTCAGCATGATTTTGTATCAGATATACAAACCCTTTCACGCTCATTATTTTTTTGTGATTTCTTCATGAAAAATTATGTGTTTCACAATGTCAATGATACAATTAAAATCGCTTTGTGTTATATAGAAATACAGCTCATTTAGCTATTATTTAGATATTAATCATTGTTAATTAAAATATCATGTACAGCATTCATATTAAAAGTCATATAGAAACTCTTTGTCACTTTGACAAGTCTTTTCTGTCTTACAAAGTCTACTGCTTTATGCTCTTTCATTAAGTCAAGAGGATGCGTGTGTGGAACATTGTGACATTGTTTGCATGTATGAAAACACTTTTATAGAATTGTTGGAGTAAAACATCATTTGAAGAATGAAGTCAAGAAATTATATTTGTTTAATTTTAAGTAAAAATTTGGCCGCTACAAATTCCATAAACAAAATACTGTAGTATATGTTATGTTATATAAGAGATACATAGAGGATATTACACGGCGGCGCGAAAATATGACTTTTAGCCTATCTTCGAGTGGTGAAAACAAAAGGTCATATGTTCAAGCCACCGTGTAATGTTCTGTTTATTATATAGTCCCATGCAAGAAAAAAATTGTGAAATTTCAGGCTCAAAAGCAAATTGGAAAAAGTCACGTGATCGATATCTTCACTAGTGAAGATATGGAAAATATCTCACTGTGTATTTTGTAGTATCTCGCTCTCTACTATATAATAAATAGTTAATATATACCTTCATTCAAAATTAAAAACAACTAATTATAGTTTTATTTTGATCTGATCATTTTATTATTACATGCCGCTGAATAAAAGTCTTTTATTAACTGTTACTAAAAAGCTGATGTTACTATTATACATATTAGGAATATATTAACTATAACTGCAGTTAAAGACTTTTTAATATACACAAAGATTTTTAAGTGCAATGAAGATCGAATCAAAAAATACATTTTGAAAGAGTTGCTTTATTTTACGTATGCAACAGTAATTTAAAAACTAAACCTTTTATTCTTGCATAAAAGTGTCCAGTTAACTTTTCCCCATTATATATAAACGTTATATAAAGACATTGTTATAGATTTAGAAAAACAATATTCTAATTCCATATTAGAATGTTTCAAATGTTAAAAATATTAAGCATAATTTAAAGATAAGTTTCGAGTCAATTAACGTATTTTATTAAACATTCTGAACGGTCATTGAGCTGCATGCAGAGTTTTAAATTATTTTCACCACAATTTCCACCCAGCAAAGGACTGCATGATAAAATAATCGAGGACTCGTAAAATCTGAGCATGACTCATTACCGGCATCACCATGTATTATATATTCACGAATCCGTGTTCAATGCTCAGCAACTGGACTCTGCAGCTGAGTAACTGGCAATCTGGCAGAACTGGCAGCAGACCGTTTCGTGCCAGAGGGCCTATACTGTTATGTAGACAGAAACGTGTTGTGATCAACTGATCATAATTTTGGAATCCAGGCCATAACCAGACGCTCTATTCAGCGTTTAGTCGCTGGGACTATTAAAAAAGGAGCTTGTTTATTCTGTGACATCTGTCTACACAGACAAATCATATGGATAAATTAAGTCGTCTATTCATGCACTAGTAGGTTAGTAGCGCTAAAGTGAATTTTTACTGCCACTACCTACTACAGATTACAGTGATATGACAGATATTAATATTAAATCAATTCGAATATATTTGGAACTAGAAAGACATAACAACTGCATGATAGCAGTTGCTGAGCTCCAGACAGTATTTATTGTAGTTTTTCCTGCCGGTGCAAAATACCTTATAACAAAGAAAACTGATCATTATTTTTTTGCTCTGATAAGCATTGATAGTAGATACTTTCAATGAAATTAAACCTCCAATAAGCATTTTAAAAATAGCATAATGTGTACGTTTGCATGCAGTTCTTAACCTGTGACCCCAAGAATTTCAGTCTTCGCTATAATATTTGTGAGCCGACTTTTAGCCTGTACTCTGTGATCGACTTTAGCCATAATCTATAGGTGATGTCACAGAACAAAGATCCATACAGATACAGAAGGGCCACTTACGTCGGAAGCATTGAAGTTTCTGTCCTCGCGCATGTCCCATTACGCATGTTGGCCGCCATGCATTTTCCTAGTCAGCCAATGATATTTTCTGGCCAATAAACACGCTGTACTGGCTGGCTGCTCCGCCTTCTGACCAGTAAACTGCATATTTTTGCATAAAAAACGAGGACACATTGCACCGCTGAGTGGCCCTTCTGTTACTGATCGTTTTTCTGTGGTGATGTACAACCACCATGTTCGATGATATTTGCATTGCAAACAAGCAACATCCATTGTCAATGCCATCCAACATGGCGACGGTGATCCAAGGGTGGGTTGACTACAAAATCAGTTTTGTAGTTCGCTATAACTACAGCTACTTCAAAAATATGTAGTCAGCTACAACTACTGCTGCTTTTGAACAAAAGTAGTTCGCTACTGACTACAGCTACTGCTTAAAAAATGTAGCGAACTATTTCGCTATTTCGCTACTCTATATTTTTTATTTGGAGCATCCACTAGCTCAGGCTGTAATATAACCTATAACAAATCGACTTACGAGTAGCAACAGTAAACAAAAAGGCTCAAAGCAACATTTTTATAAGCACTACAGTGTTCAGGAGTGCCACTTTTCAATGCGCTAAAATAATCTTTACTGTATAAAATAATCTTTTAAGCAAACCGTGTCTATCTTGAACGGTTGCTAACAATTTTAAAAAGTAGCGAATAGCGATCCACTGTTTGAAAAGTAGTCGACTATTTGGCTACTTTTAGGCAAAATGTAGTTCGCTACAACTACAAATACTGTTTTAAAAAAGTAGTCAAAAACTACTGGCTACTTGAAAATTGCAGTTCGCTACAGTAGCGAACTACAACTACTTCGCTACTACCCACCCTTCCGGTGATCTGATCAAACTTCCAGGTGATCTCGTGTTCGTATTTTAGCCAATCAGCGCTCCGTAAGGGATTGAAATAGAAATCCATTTTGATGTATTCAGTCAATTATATCTTTCGTTATTCTTTATGAAACTAGTTCAGAAATTTTGTAATTATGTTTGGTTATGAGAACTATAGCTCTGACAAAAATATGGAATCGAAATAAAGTATATTACAGGAGATCTAGATGTTCAGTTGTTTTAATCATAAAATGGATTTCTATTTGACAACTAGTGCCAGTACTTTTCCGCGTATCAAGATCACCTGGTTCAAAGCTACAAAATAGAGGCCTTTGCTTGATGATCAACTGTACCTCGCCGTGCACAAATCTTTTGTCTCAACTTCATTAAATATTATTCATCGTTGTTGCACGTTTCATCTTAGCTATCCCTGTTGCACGGTTACTTATTATACAAAATTACAATAAGCTTAATCAGTTCTGTTTAGTTTCCAGGCCATCATATCTTGATAGACTATGCAGCCTAGTCCCTAGCCTGCGAACAGGCTCTCAAGCTGAATTGAGAGCCTGCATCGATGACTAATGGATTTGAATATCTGCCCCGTAACGTTCGTTTTTCCAAATATGGAATGTCTATCCTTATATGGTGTTGTTTACAACTTTCGTGCAAACTAAATTTAGACCGTGCAAACTAAATTTAGACCGTACAGTTTATACTGTTTTTCGAAATATAAGATATTCAAGCAAAAGTTCAAATGTTTTAAATACTGTTTTCTCAAAACAGAACATTTCGTGCTTTCAGATAAGATGGCCAAGACCAATTTGATCTGTTAATGTGTTTTTTATGCATAGTGCTTCAGCAGTTGACATATATAGAGCTCAGCGGAAACATACTAAATTATAGCATCTGACCAATGAGAATTTCGCGTCACGATTTGAGACGCAGATATTCAAATTCATTAGTCATCGATGCAGGCTCTCAATTCAGCTTGAGAGCCTGTTCGCAAGCTACCTAGTCCCCAGGCCTCTTAGTACGCCTATTGCGCGTTTTTGCAAGCAGACCATCTACAGTTTAATTGAACAATAATACTAATTATTATATGGCTTTTCAAAATTCTCTATTCTGATTGGTTGACAAGCGGTCCGTAAGAACCCATGTCCGGACCATGGTCCGTATTTTCCGTATCTGGACCGGATGTCGCTTATCTGGCGGGAAATTTTTACTTTGCAAGCAGAAAAAATTCTTGCTTTTTAATTTTCCAATTGTGTGTCATTAAAATTCACTGATAAAAATTTCAAACAACCAAATTGTTTTTGATTTAGCATGCATGCCTATCGTACTGATTTAACCCCAGTGAAACTGACAATAGCCGATTTAGTTCGCGCGAAAAGCAGAAATGCTCACAGACTCAGTTCAGCCATATAATAAAACGATTATTGACCTCGCTTGTTCGGTCTGTACTGTGAAATATCAGACCTCTGTTTTCTGCATGGATCTCGCTCCTTCGTCGCTCGGTCCATACTAAAAAACGTTAAAAACCTCGGTCTGATATTTCACAGTACAGACCTCACGCTCGGTCAATAAGCCGTTAATATATGACTGGTGAGTGTCCTTTAATTGCACTGTCAGTAGTAACTTTGTAGGGTTTTTTTGGTGAAATTGTGTGAGAAAGATGGATGGCTGCTAGATTTCTACCAATATATGAATGAAGCGGCTTAGCTTTGCTCAGTCATTCACAGTTAAGGAAGAAGAGGTCTTTCCGATAATGCGAAGTTATAATTAAGCAGTGTGGGATTTCATATCAGTTGCAGATGTGTCAACCAATATGTCTTTTTGAGTAAACACAAGGAAAATGTTGGCGAGGTTTAAGTTTTCCTGAAAATAAAAGGCCCAAAGAATATTAAAAAATAAGTTTTTCACAATATTTTTGACATAAATTTCTAGTAATATTCCCAAATATTTAATACGTTCTGCAAATACAGCATTTGGGGGCCTCCTCTGGCGTAATTGGGCCCCCTTTGGGGAGTGTTACACCCTCCTAGCTCCCCCTTGTCAGCACGGCGGTAATCATTTGCCCGACGAAATTGTATGGATATACCTGAAGAGATAGAAACCGTGGGTGTAACCCCACCCCCCGCCAACTCCCCCCGGTAGTTTCGCCCCTGCTGAAAGGTATTGGTGACAAGCGCTGCAAATACCGCTGGTGACTGCAGTGGTTTAATTTTCGTAGCAACACTGGACCAACAAGCTAGAATGAAAGGACTTTGCTGAAGAAATATTGATGATAGAGCCATGTGCAGTTATATCTTGAAGTCTGATTCCTCATATCTGAGGAATGATTAAGTTTTTTACAGTTTTTTTTACAATGCAGCAACTGGCGTTGCTATGGTAACAACGTTGCAATATTTATATTACGGACATTTTGATTTTTAACTAATATTATAACTCGTAAATGACAACGGTGACCCCCAATTCCCAAATCTTTGGCAAAGTTAAATAATTAACACTGGGTCAACAATTATCAAAAAATGTCTCTTATTAGGTCTTTCAAACAAACAGTGAATTAGTAGCCTACATCCGATAAACCACAATACAACCGATATTCATTCTCAGTTTATTAAGAAAAATGGTAATTTATAAAACATAAATTTACGTACATCTGAGCTTTGTATTTCATACCGTAACATGCAGACATAAAACTAATACAATCAACTAGTTCTTTACATAATGATTAATTCTTCTTAATTAATTAATGATTAATTAATTCGTGTTTTAATTAATTGTTCTGTCAAAGCTGCCAGCTTAAACACGGTAGCGAGGGCATTTTGCCTTCCTTGGCTTGACAGAATAGTAATTACAACATTGTGATACTCTGGTATCGTAGTAGAAGTAACCACAGCATGAATATCTGGATTTCTTATCGTGCACTTTACCACAGCAACAGATTTGAGTAGAAGGATTGTAGATTTGGTTGCCACAATCTATAGTAGTAAGAAAAAAGAAGCAAAATCATGACAGTCAGAGTGAGAATTTAATGCATTTTATTATGCAGTTTTGTACCACAGTAGATTTGTGGTGCATGGCCTCTATTGGTTTCATTTGTGCATAGCAGATGCCACTAGCAGTCCTAACTTTGTGATCAGTGATTGCAACGCTATAGCTGATATACACAGTATACTTACAGAAGTATGGACAGTAGGCGAATTCGTAAGCACAGGCCCAGTTACCACCAGACTTACAGGTGCTAAACGATAGGAAATGTCAGTTAATTCTGAGTCATTTAAAAAATATGGGTTGGTGGGATAATTTTGATTGCTTTTTCTAAAGTGAGTATATTCATTCCTGCAACAAAGTTTCGCGAATTTTTTTTCAAAATCCTTACTATGTAAATAGTATGGTCGTGTGGACGTTGGTTGGAAATAGTACGGTAATCCAATCTTCACACTAATTGCAATCTCTATGGAAATAGCGTGGATATACTGTGGATTTTGTGGTGCAATATTGCAAATTCCATAGACATAGTATGGATTTCATTATTTTTTTCCCAATGTTTGTCCGTGTGAGATGAGCGAACCAATTTGAACATGTGTTCTATTTTTAGCCTATGCTCAGGGGCGTAGCTATGGGTGAATTGAGGGGTTCACATCCCCCCTCCTACTTTTCGTCGGGACCAGTTTTGTACTTTTTTCCAAAGCTGAGGAGAAACGGGGGGATGGGGGCATAACCTCGTAATGTATATCAAAATGTGTATTGAAATACAAGTGGATTATACTAGTAAAACATTCACTTTTATAGTATTCAGAATCATTTAAAATCACCTCCCCAAATGCACGAAATGGCAGTTTCAAAGGCCCCAGATTTTAAAATTTCCCGGGGATCCCCTCGGCCTTTTTTAGCTATAAAAATTAATCCTTAACATATATATTGTGGTGTGTTCAGGGCATACCATAAAAATTGAACTACTAATTAACTGAAAACGGTCTTAACGCGTAAGCACTGTTATTTTCAAGGAGTTAAAATAAGTCTGTGCTGAATGGTTATATTACTACTTTAAAAAACAAGCAGAAACTCGACGTTTCGAGCGAAGGATTTTTTCTGCTTGTTTTTTAAGGTAGTAGGCTAATATAACCACTCAGCACAGCATTTTCACATTGGTACTACCTACACTGGTACAGACAGTTTTACTTAAAATAACTCCCCTATTACTCCTTTTTGGTGGAGTTAAAATTTTAGGGCGATGTTAACCCCATATCATGTTAACCCCATACTCACGCGTGAGTAATTGTGGTTTATATGAAGAGTTTAGATGTACTCACCATTTCATACAAGTACAGCGAATAGAAACTCCGGGTTTGTACCAAACTGCGATGCCCCAATGACAAACTATAGAAAATTTGAAGACAGAAAAACGCGTCAGTAAAAAACTTACACTAATATTCAATAAAATATATATTTAACCAATATTTTACGCTTATATTTTTCGTATAATCAGTCAAGGCAAACCATTCGTGTAGCTGCGAGTCAACCCAGTCCGAATTGACTGGGAAAGAATTTCATATTTCTCGCCATATATTTCTATCTTTTGTTCCAGTTGGTAATGTTGTCTTCCTAGGTCTCCTTGTAAAGATCTGCATGAGCACGCTTGGTTAGAAAGGACTGCAATATTTGGGCCGTCCACGACTAGTTATATTAACTTGGAAAGTGCAAAAATGGATTGAAACGCATGATCGTGTGTTGTAATTTTGTGTTGTAGCTTTGTTAAGTTTGTAACCCTGTCTCTATTGTTTAACAAATTGTCAATGTAATGTGTAGGTATAGGACTCAATTTGGGACTCCTCAATCCTGTTGTCTGTAACCCTCAAAACCCCTCAAATCCTATGGTTGCGGGGACGTTTCGTGTAACAAAAAAGCTGAACAAACTTACATCCTTTATTCTTAATTGAGTCAGGGTCGTGTGCGTCGTTTGGTACGAGAGCAGTCGACGTTTCAGTGTTCATGTCTTCCATGACCATCTTCGGCTCTTCATCATTTGCGCTTTCTTTTTTCTCAGGTGTTTCATTGTCGTTGCCGAATTTTTCTAAGAAGGAAAGAAAGAAAGAAACTTTACTTATACTGAAACTACGAGCAGTATGAACACAATTTTGTGATTATGGCCTTGACAACAACCTTATTGCAACTTGTTTGCAGATCTCGGTAACAACTAACTTGCCGTTTCTACATGTGCAGTGGATAACTCTATCACGCGCACTTCCAAGAGGTACTTACCGACTTTAGCCATTGCGATACCGGCCACCAACATTAAAACAACAATTTTTAAAGACATGATTCCTTTCCTATAGTTTTACAGCTTTTCCTCAACTCACAACTTTCCTTTGTTCAACTTCTGTAAGAGTGATACTTTCGAGCCGTGTCTTGCCTCCTTTTATGCAAACGGTCTACCACTTGAAAATGAACTTGTACTAAAAATCTTTTGTCTATCAACTATGGACAAAACCTTTTACTTAATGTTAAGCGTTTTTGTTAATGCAAGTATACAGACATTCTTAGAATATGTTTTAGCTATACATCCGATGCTAATATTGGCTTTTGGCTGCAACGCAGTATAGTATAATATAGTATGGTATGGTGTGGTATGGTATGGTATGGTATGGTATGGTATGGTATGGTATGGTATGGTATGGTATGGTATGGTATGCAAATAATGAATGTTTATGGGTGCAATGGTAAGAATATTTTCATGAGGTGAAAGATGGAATGTTCCCTTCAACGAGGCGACAGCCGACTCATTACACGAATAAACATTCATTATTTGTTTTATATAATACCAAAGTAGACCAATAGATTCGTATGAGAAGCATTTTGACGGATGCGATTTATCGAAAACACAAAGAGTGCAATGGAATAAAACGTATACTACAATTGTACTCGCAAAGATTGCAATGGAACGTATCCCATTACACTCTTGGAAAATGGAATTTTCTATTCAATATCACGTGACCATAAACAGCCAATTAATCAGAATTCAATAAGGTATTATATAATATAGTATAGTACATGTAGTAACAGTTGTAATTTGCAAGACTTAGAAACTTTGAATATATAGGAACGTGTAGGCTGTGCCAGTCAGGGTCAATATTTCAGTTTGTATAAACATTTTTGCCGGCCTTGTCTAAAAAAAGAAAACAACAAATGTCTTTGTTTTAAATTATGACATGAATGGACCTATTCCCTAATGAACAAAATTTTGATCTAGGCCACTCTAGACAGAAATTTTATCACAGCTTCTTAAAGAGCATCACAAAATTAGTAATATTCCGAAGTTTCGTTGCGAAATGTTGTAAAATGCGGATAATATAGCCCTGCGAAGTTTGCCGTTCTTCAGTCATTTTGTATTACGCACGGGAAATTGATACCGCTTTCTGAAAAAAGGTATCAATTTCCCGCACGTAATATTTGTTGAATATTCGTGAAATTATTGTCTAGACTTGTCTAGATAAAAATTTGTTCATTATGGAATAGGTCCATTGATTTCATGATTCATAGTCAACTATAGTTAGAAAACTATAATGCCTGATATAATGATTACCAGTTCGCTACACTGACACTGTGGCGAATTAGAATTTTAAAGTAGCGAGTGGTTTTGACTACTTAATTTAATTAATTAACCTTTTTTTAAGACAGTCTACTGTTACTTTTCAAGCAACGATCGCTATTCGCTATTAATTTTCAAATTTCTCATCACTCGATTAGACGTAAAATAAATATGACTGGAGATAATGGCAATGCCGTGTTTAGTTTATAGTTTACTTTACTAGTCTAATACGTTTATACGGATTTAGTCTGTTTAGAGTTTAAGTATAACACCTTCTGCCTTGCCATTCGAAGAACTAGTTATACAAATTAGAAGAAGATATAACATCAGTGTAAATTACAATTGTGGATAGCAACTGATACCTTGTCGTGCCGAATTTCATGTACATACAGCTATTTCAATTAAGGTTGTCCACGAGCAAAGCGGAAAAGTCGAATACGAGCGCGAAAGGCTGCTGGGAATCGCTTTGAAAATTATTAATTTGTTAGCGATTTGTTAGCGATTTTTAAGTGCACTCAAGATCGAATCAAAATAATGTTTGAAAGAGTTGCTTTGTGTTACGTATGTAGCAGTAGTTTAAAAACTAAACCTTTTATTCTTGCATAAAAATGTTTAACTTTCATCAATGGAAGAAAGCACGTCATTGCATGCAAAATATTTTGGAAAACCATTTGGTAATAAAATAACTACAGTGAAACAATCAAACAATGACATTTTGAGAATCCCACGAACGCATTTTAATTCCTCGTGCAGCATAGCCTAATCCTGCACGGCTATTGACCAATCAAATTGCGTGTTTCACTGTAGTTATTGTATAATATATTATTCCAAATTAGAATGTTTCAAATGTAACAAATATTAAGTATAATTTAAAGATAAGTTTCAAGTCAAGGTATTTCAAGCATTTTCCCTTCTTAAAAATCAAACAGTCATTGAGCTGTAGAGTATTAGGGTGGCTCAATACAGTTTTTAAAGAAATGGAAAATTCACGATTTAGATGCGTATTTTTGTACTATTTAAAGCACGCGTAGGAGTGTTTTATCAGATATAAAACGCGAGGCGCAGCCGAGCGTTTTATATCTAATAAAACACGACTACAAGTGCTTAAAATGGCTTAAAAAAACGACCCATTTTCTGATGAGTACATTAGCAAAGTAATTTTTAAAATAAACTTTGTCTAAACCGAGAAAATCAAAGCTAAAGTTTATGTAAATTAATATGATTTTTTATCACATATAAAGTTACGACACGCTTATGATTTTTCTTTGTGTTTTCCTCCTGAATTATTAATGAGGTTTTTAAGGATAATTAGTACTTGTTGATAAACAAAAAGTATCTTACTTATATAAAGCAATATCTAAAGAGATTGAATTTTTGCACAAAAGTTAAGCAACTGCCGTTGCTACGGCAACAATGACGTTTCAAAATTGCGGATATTTTGGCTTTGGATATTTTACTCGTAAACGACATCGGTGACCCCAAATTTTATTTAAAAAATGATTTCTCTTAGTATAATCAATTATTTCGACAATTTAAAAAAAATTCTGTGGAGCCAAGAAAAAATTTATTATGAATAATAACCTTTACATAATTTAAAGAGAATTTTTGAAATTGTCAAAATAATTGATTATATATAGTAAGAGAAATAATTTTTTAAAATAAAATTTGGGGGTCACCGATGTCGTTTACGAGTTAAATTACTTTAAAGCCAAAATATCCGCCATTTTGAAACGTCATTGTTGCCATAGCAAAGGCAGTTGCGTAACGTTTGTGCAAAAATTCAAACTCTTTAGATATTGTTTTGTATAAGTAAGGTACATTTTGTTTGTCAACAAGTAATGATTGTTCAAAAATATGCATCTAAATTGTGAATTTTCCCCTTTTTTAAAAAACTGTATTGAGCCACCTTAAGGTCGGTTTACGTTTGCATTTCTAGTGCGATTTTCCTCTTCTGATGCATGCGAATGAGTATATAAGTTATGAATGTACTGAGTATATGCACCCTCATCTGAACAACTCATTATCATCATAACTATGTTACTGTACTACATTATCATCATAACTCATTCACACGTTCACACCCATCAGAAGAAGAAAATCGCACCTAAACTCGCAGCAAAAATTGCAAGTGTAAACGGATCTTTATATAAATTATGTAAATTAGGGTTAGGGTTAGGGTTAGGGTTAGGGGTTAGGGGTTAGGGTTAGTTACAACTCATTATCATCATAACTATGTTAATGTACTACATTATCATCATAACTCATCATAACTCATTCACACGTTCACACCCATCAGAAGAAGAAAATCGCACCTAAACTCGCAGCAAAAATTGCAAGTGTAAACGGACCTTTATATAAATTAGACTGATTATTAATTTTCCACCTTTGTTAGATTCAACAAAGGACTGCATAATAAAAAATCGTTATTTTTTCACGAATTCGTGGTTAATGCTCAGCAATTGGACTTTGTAGCTCAGTAACTGGTAGCTTGCGTAGCAGGCGTTTATTTTCATAAACATCTGCTACGCAGACTAAGTAACTGGCGGAATCGTAGGGCAGATTCTTGTCCTGCCAGAGGGTCCGATACTGTTATCGCCCCATGTAAGGTAATCCATGCACTCCTTGTATTCCGGATTTCACTCCTTGGATTCCAGATTCCTCTCTTTGGATTCCGCATTCCACTTCTTGGATTCCGGATTCCACTTCTTGGATTCCAGATTCCATTTCTTGGATTCTGGATTCCACTTCTTGGATTCCGGATTCTACTACTTAGATTCCGGATTCTACTACTTGGATTCCGGATTTCAGATTGGTCGTGGATTCCGGATTCCAGAAAATTGGCCCAGGATAAGGATTCCGGATTCCTCCGATATTTGGATTCTGTATTCCACTGTCTGGAGTCCGGATTACGCAGCTATTAAAAGTCAGATTCTGGTTCCTGGATTACCTATACATGGAGCAACTTATCAATGTGATGTTTGTAAGAAGAAATTTACAGAGCTTGGGAACTTGGTGAAGCATAGAAGAACGCACACTGGCGAGAAACCTTATGCAATGTTTGTAAGAAGGGATTTGCACACACTCAAGCAGTTTGGTGTATCACAAAACAACGCACAATGGACAAAAACCCTATGAATGCGATGTCTGTAAGAAGACATTTACACACCCAAGAGGCTTGGTGAAGCATAAACAAACGCACACGGTCGACAAACCTGATGATTGTGATGTTTGTAATGCGGGATTTGCACAGTCAGGAACATTGTGCAACAACGTAAAAGAAGGCACACCGAAGTGAAGCCTTACGAATGTAGGCGTATCCTTACGAAGATTCACTTGGAAGAACATGACAGTATTTTACTGATTGTGACTCTTGTATAAATAAAGCTTCTATTCTGTAAAAGATTTCTACAAAAATATTTTCTTACTCATCACACAAAAAGCAACATTTCGGTTGTGCAACACTTGCAGCAGAGAGATTGTTCAACCGAAAGATTTGAATGAACATTTTTTCTTGTTTGAACACGATGGAATGTGTAGCTAGCTGCAGTAAATGTGATAAACGATGTGTTAATTTCATGAAATTAGTACAACATATTGCAAGGCAACATGGCAATGTTGGAAACTATCAATGCGGTTTATGTCAGGAGCTTGAGTCAACAGAACCAACTGGTGTTGGATATGTTTGTTGTATGTGTGATGTTGTGTTTGTTGTTCCCAGAGAACTTGAAGATCACATGGCCACTCATAACACGATATCGGCTCATTTCAAAGTTGCAAAGGATACTCACCAGTAAAATATTTAGTTCATAATTGTTCAATTAAACTGTCGATGATCAATGATCTGCTTGCATCGTCTGATGGTTTGATTGCATGGTCTGATTGCATCGTTTTCGTACAAAAAATACGAAACGTTTACGGCAATTTATTTAAATGAATTGTTTTGATGGTACTATGCTAGATGCTTCAAACCACTAGAAATCATGGGCTGTGGTAGCTAGCTTTGTAGTTTATATGGTGAAATTGTGTGAGAAAGATGGATTGCTACTAGATAGACTAGTCTTCTACCAATATACGAATGAACCGGCTTAGCTTTGCTCAGTCATATACACTTAAGGAAGAAGAGGCCTTTCCGATAATACGAAGTTATAATCAGGCAGTGTGAGATTTCATATCAGATGTAGGTACATGCCAACCGATATGTCTTTTGGAGAGGGGAGGGGGGGGAAGTGAACACAAAACTGTGCGCGTTTGGTCCTCTTCGCGTTTTAGGCCCCTTCAAAATGTTGGCGAGGTTTAAGTTTTTCTGAAAATAAAAGGCCTAAAAAATGTTTTCCTTACCATTATCGAGTAAAAGTTAGCTAAAAATACGTTTTTTCCACCATATTTTGGACATAAGTTTCTAGTAATATTCCCAAATGTTTAATACGTACCGCAAATCCAGCATTTGGGAAAATTTGGGCTCCCTTCCTGACTTTACTTTGAGGAGTGTTCAACCCCTCCCCATTCGGCACGGCGCTAATCATTTGCCCGACGAAATTGTATGGATATACCCGACTGGGGGTGTCAACCCCCCACCACTCCGCAAAACCCACTGGTAGTTTCGCCCCTCGCTGAAAGGTTTTGGTGACATACGCTGCTAATACCGCTGTTGACTGAAGTGGTTTTATTTTGTAGCAAGTAGCAACACTGGTCGAACAAGCTAAAATTGAAAGAACTTAGCCTCTGCAGAATTATTAATGATAGAGCTATGTGCAGTTATATCTTGACATCTAAAGTTACGCAACTGCCGTTGCTATGGCAACAATGACGTTTCAATGTTGCGGATATTTTGATTTTTAACTAATATTATAACATCCTCGTACCCAGGGTCTTTCCTCTTGGGGAGCAAAGAGCCTGGTTGACGCTGGTCACGTGATCTGCTAAAATCTAGCAGATTTTTAATTAGCAATCCAAGATCAGGTCAATAAACATTTGATATTTGCATTATTTTGATTGTTTTTATTTATAATTTGTATTTTGTACGATTGTCGTAAAGGAATTCAAGATAGTTAATTAGAAATCTGCTAGATTTTAGCAGATCACGTGACCAGCGTCAACCAGGGTCTTTGCTCCCCAAGAGGAAAGACCCTGGCTACGAGGTTGATATCATAACTTGTAAACGACAACAGTATCCCCCAATTCCCAAATCTTTGGCAAAATTAAATAATTAACACTGGGTCAAAAATTATCAAAAAATGTCCCTTGTTAGGTCTTTCAAACGAATTGCAGTGAATTAGTAAATACAATAAACCACAATACAACAAATTCATTCTTAGTTTATTAAGAAAAATGGTATAATTTATGAAACATAAATTTGCATCTGAGCTTTGTATTTGATACTGTAACATGCAGATATAAAACTAATACAATCAACTAGTTTTTTACATAATGATTAATTCTTCTTAATAATGATTACTTAATTCGTGTTTTAATTGTTCTTGGGCGGTCAAAGCTGACAGCTTAAACTCGGTAGCGAGGGCATTTTGCCTTCCTTGGCTTGACAGAATAGTAATTACAACATTGTGAAACTCTGGTATCGTAGTAGAAGTAACCACAGCATGAATATCTGGATTTCTTAGAGTGCACTTTACCACAGCAACAGATTTGAGTAGAAGGATTGTATATTTGGTTGCCACAATCTAGTAGAAACGCAAAAGAAAAATGTTATGACAGTCAGAGTGAAAATTTAATGCTTTTCGGCATTATGCAGTTTTGTACCACAGTAGATTTGTGGTGCATGGCCTCCATTGAGATGCCACTATCAGTCCTAACTTTGTGATCAGTGATTGCAACGCTATAGCTGATATACACAGTATACTTACAGAAGTATGGACAGTAGGCGAATTCATAAGCACAGGCCCAGTTACCACCAGACTTACAGGTGCTAAACGATAGGAAATGTCAGTTAATTCTGAGTCATTTAGTAAGAGGGGTTGGTGGGATAATTTTGCTTTTCGTAAAATGAGTAAATTTATTCCAGCAACAAAATTTTGCGAAAATTTTTTTTCAAAATTCTTAGTATGTAAATAGAATGGTCGTATGGGTGTTGGTTGGAAATAGTACGGTAATCCAATTTTCATACTAATGCAATCTGTTTGGGAATAGCGTGGATATACGATATACTATGGATTTAGTGGTGCAATATTGCAAATTCCACAGACATAGAATGGATTTCAATATTTTTTCCCAATGTTTGTCGGTGTGAAATGTGCGAACAAATTTGAACATACGTTCTATTTTTAGCCTGTTGCTCAGGGGCGTAGCCATGGGTGAATTGAGGGGTTCACACTCCCCCCCCCCCACACACATACACTTTTCTTCCGGTCCAGTTTTGTATCTTTTTCCAAAACTGAGAAAAAAGGGGGGCAGGTTGGGGCAGGGCGTAACCTCGTAATGTATTCACCTAAGACATAAGGTATATCAAATCTGTGATTTTATTGTATTTAAACTATTGCCTCAGACAACACATTGGGTCGTTCACAGTGTGCATTAATGGTACGTCTCACTCTTGGTCTGTATGTATAGTTAATGAAATATTAATGCTTTTACTTTTATAGTTAATAATAATTTATTCAAATGCATGACCTAATTTACAGGTATTGCTAGAATATTCTATATATATATATATATATATAATTACATACAGTACAAGGTATTGAAGAAACGAACATATATAAAGTGAAAGTGTCATTATAGTGATTTATACATCTATTTTATGGATAATATAGATCCTATTCGTAGTTTCTAAGTAAGGGTTTTTTTATGAAAGATTGGAAAACAATTTGCAGTGTGATTTTCGCAATGAATTTGAAATTAGCTGCAGTCGTTTTTTATTACGTATTTTCCATGGGTTTGAGGCTATTTTCTCGCTCTGTTAAGCAGAGAGAGATAAATTTAGAGAATAGGTTAATGACAACAATGTCATTTGAGGACATTAGATGTTCTAGTAGTTTTTGTTTAGTCTGAGATGTTTAGTTTGAAGTTAGGTTTTAACTAAAAACATTATTACTTCAATTTTTGGCCTCTGTCTCTGATTGTAATGTCCACAAAACGAAATTGCCCTATATGCTATATCCAAATTTTTATTGAAATACAAGTGGATTACTAGCAAAACATTCACTTTTATAGCATTCAGAATCATTTAAAATTGCCTCCCCAAATGCACGAAATGGCAATTTCAAAGACTCCAGATTTCAAAATTTCCCGAGGGATCCCCTCGGCCTTTTTCAGTTATGAACCCCCATTGCTATAAAAAATAATCCTTAGATTAATATTATGTCTCAGTGTGGTGTGCTCAGGGAATGTCATGAAAATTGAAGACCATTGAACTACTGATGAACCTGAAAACGGTTTTAACACGTGTATTTGCGGTCAATGCACGCAGGAGTAAGCGTGGTTTATATGAAGAGTTTGGATGTACTCACCATTTCATACAACTACAGCGAATGGAAAATCCGGGTTTGAACCAAACTGCGATGCCCCAATGACAAACTATAGAAAATTTGAAGTAAACAGAAATAAACGCGTCAGCGAATAACATACATTACTGTTTACTAAAATATATATTTAACCAATATTTTACGCTTATAGTTTTCGTATAATTCAAGGCAAATCATTCGTGTTGCTACGAGTCAACCGAGTCCGAATTGGCTGGGAAAAAATTTCATATTTCTCGCCATATATTTCTGTCTTTCGTTCCAGGTGATAACGTCATCATTCTATTTCGCCTTCAGATAAAGATCTGAGCACGCGTGTAAATAACTAGCTTGCCTTGGTTTGACAAGGACACTGAGAGAGGGTCGCCATATCACCACCATATAATTTCCTTATTTCTTTAAATAACCCGTATCTTAATTGAATTTACACGATGACATTATTCTGATATTCATATTTTTCTGATATAGTCTCATTGTGCCGCTTTTTATCGTCGTCGTTTTTTTGTTGAAACTGTTCCCAGATTGCCGGAAATAGCGTTTCTTAGCCTTAGAAAATGGGGGAGTTTATTTGCGGTAAATCTCAAATTCTATAGTTGCGGGAACGAAACGTATATAACAAGAAAGATGAACAAACTTACGTCCTTTATTCTTGATTGAATCAGGGTCGTGTGCGTCATTTTGTACGAGAGCAGTCGACGTTTCAGTGTTCATGTCTTCCATGACCATCTTTGGCTTTTCATCATTTGCGCTTTCTTTTTTCTCAGGTGTTTCATAGTCGTTGCCATATTCATCTAAGAAGAAAAGAAAGAAACTTTATTTTTGGTACTCGTTATATTACTTACTAAGATAGCTCTATCATTTCTTAATTAACTGTTCTTCTTAAAGGTCCAGTAATGATCATCTCTTACTGAACCAGTGTTACTACAGGACGAAACATATAAACTAACTTTATCTATACTGTATACAGCTCTATCAGTTTTATTACTGTTCTTTCTATAGAGGTTCAGTAAGCCCTATTTATTATATTACAGTGCACTAACTTTACTTTTTAAAATACATGCGCAAAAATCTTACTGGAACTTATTAACGCACTGGCCAACAGACTCCTAACAAGTAGTTAATAAGTTGATTACAACAAGCTGGTAGCAACTTGTTGTGAAAAGCCTGTAATTAATCTTGTTGGAACAACTTGTACTAAGTCTGTTACCGTCACCAACCTTGTAACAAGGTGATAACAAGATGTCTCAGACTTTTCACAACAACTGAGAAGAAGCAGTGTGAGAACATGCATCCTGATATCGGCTTGACAACAACTTTGTTTAGCAACCTTGTTTATAGGTTGCCTTGTTTAGTTGTTACAACTTATTTGCGCGAAGTACTTACCGACTTTAGCCATTGCGATACCGGCCACCAACATTAAAACAACAATTTTTAAAGACATGATTCTTTTCTTTTAGTTTTACTGCTTTTCCTCAACTGACAACTTTCCTCTGTTCCACTGCTGCAAGAGTGATACTTTCGAAGCCGTATCTTGCGTCCTTTTATACAAACGGACTACCACTTGAAAATGAACTTGTACTAAAGTCTTTTGTTTATAAACTAGACAAAACCTTTCACTAGGTTAAGCGTTTTTGTATATACAGACACTCTTAGAAGAAGTTTTACATCCGATGCTAATATTGGCTTTTGGCCGCAACGCAGTATAGTTCACAATTATTCGCCGTAGGCGAGGTGATTGTCGGGGAATATGCAGGTGAATAATCGTTTTAGTATTTTTAGTCAAGTCTTTTGTGTTTTTTTTTAACTGAGTTGATTTTAATTTCGCTCATTTCTTTATCAGTAAGGAGCTGTGATTCTTGCCAGAGGCATGTAGTTGCAGCTGCCTACATTTTAAAGTGGCTGCATATATAGCTGTAGCAAACAAGAAAAATTTTGTAGGAACTCATATACATGCAGTAGGAACCTGTAAGTACTCGTGAAACGGCTTGATGAGAGCATTCGTATATTCTTCAACAATTTAAGATAAATTAATGATATTTGGTGAGAAACTTGAACTTTTTGAAAATCAACATGATTTTGCAATTTGTATCATGCAGATATACAAACTCATTCACGCTCATGATTTAAGTTTTGTGACATTTCTTCATGAATTATTAGTGAGTTTCAAAATAATAATTAAAATTGCCTGGTGTATGTTTGAGAAAAATACAGTAAAATGGGTTACCATATGCGTAATCAGCATTAAAATATTCATATAGAATTAAAAATGATATATAGAAACTCTCTTAAGTCGTTTTTGTCTTACAAAGTCTGATGCTCTTTCATAAAGTCAAGAGGATGCGTGTGTGGAACACTGTGACATTCTCTACACACTGACATCTGTAAATTCAGATAAAAATCAAAAGAGTCAAAACGACTCCAAAAAAGAGTCACAACGACTCCAAAGGAGTCATTCTGGTCAACTTGACTCCAGAATGACTCTTTTCGTGGCTGTTCTATTTGTTTGCCTGTGGCTAAATAGACTAATTATATCGCATTCTCAACGCAAAATGTATAGTTACATGCTTGAAAATTGAAAATTTGGGCGCTATATATCTCATAAACAAAACAGTATAGCCTAAGTTATGTAGCTATATACTGATTAGGAAATGCATAGTTTTCCTTGAAATAAAATTAAAGACACTTAATTATGGTTTTATTTCGACATACCACAACAGTCCGTTTCATCCGTATACTAGGAATCATCAGGTGGTGAGTAATTTCGAAAATTATGCATGCATGCAATTGAATAAAAGTCTTTAGTTAACTGTTATCAAAAATGTGATGTCACTATTATACATATTATAGGAATAACTATAACTGCAGTTAAAGACTTTTTAATACATACAAGATTTTTAAGTGCATTGCAATGAAATTCGAATAAAAATAAAAAGTTTGAAAGAGTTGCTTTATTTTACGTACGTATATGTGGCAGTAATTGAAAGCCTTTTATTCTTGCATAAAAACGTTTGACTTTGCATGAATGAAAGAAAGCATGCCATCCCAAGGTATTTTAATTTTACTCATTTTCAATTGTATATAAATGCTAAATAAAGACATTGTAGATTAATAGTTAGAAAAACAATATTCTAATTCCAAATTAGAATTTTAGGCAAAGGCCTACAAACGTTACAAATATTTAAAAGTATAATTTAAAGGTGATCTACAGTCCGTATGTAAACAAAGCCTTTGTTTACATTTTTGTGTCCAAAATATTTTAATTTAATTTAACAAATTTATTTGGATCAATATATATATATATATATATATATATATATATATATATATATATATATATATATATATATATATATATATATATATATATATATATATATATATATATATATATATATATAACACATTTGAAAGCTAGATCCAAAACGGCAAGGTACGAACGGGACTCTTTGAAAAGTTCCCATGCAAGGCACCTTCCGGCGTCCAATTATATGATTATATGTACAGTTATATACTTATATACATATAGTATACATATACCATAGATATCTTATATACACTAGATAGTGCATCTAATTATTCTGAAATTCAAAAATTGAAGCCGTGATTGCAGTCTCAGGTCGTTCCCATAAAATGAGAAGATTCGTATGTTTTCTATCTCTTAAACAATGAACTTAAACATCAAGTTAACCCTATTCCAAATACGTTTTTAAACTATTCAAATGAAGAAAGTTATTGTTGTTCTTAAGCGTTTATTAGCAAGTGGGAACGACCAACATGGCCGCCATCTATTCAAATGGGGGTAACCGCTGGAATATTCTTGGCTTCAATTTTACTAAAAGAGATGCGCTATCTAGTGTATATAAGACATCTATGACATATACGCACGCTCACAGACAAAGCGCACACAGAGACAGGTTACACACACAGACAGGTTACACACAGACGCTTAAAGGCCATTTCCCACCGCAGTCGCCCCGCACGCGCGATTTTATCATGTGAAAAAATTAGTTCTACTTTCATGGCCTGTCCGCGAGCATTCAGGCGGACAAAAATGAAAGTTCTTTCCGCTCGCGCGGGCAAAGCGACTGCACTGGAAAATAGCCCCAAGATGGTCTATTAAACACACATTTATTTTCGTTGTTCTCTGTGACAGGGACAGTCACGCACCGAGAACCAAGTACAGGGTAGGTCAACATCATATACAGAGCGTAGAAGTTCTAAATAGCTGCGTTTAAGAAAGTTTTTGAAAGAGATAGGGCTAGAGAATGTATCTGGATTGACATCTTGGCATACATTGTTCCACGGTTTGACAATACGGTTGAAATAAGATGATTGAAACGTGGCAGTTCTACACATAGGAGTTTGAAGCATTACACCAGTAGCTTGGCTAAGTCGAGTACGTTCATGTTGAATAAAAGAGACGCAATTGTTAACGTTAAGATCGACGTAACCGTACAACGCCTTGAAGAAAAATACGAGATCTTTCATCTCTCTATCGTATAAGAGAGTGGTATAAAGAGTTCCAATTTCAACAGCCGTTGCTTGTATGGCATTTCACAAGTCCCGGTCCTTAGAATCCATTTCGTGGCTCTTCTTTGTACTCTTTCAATCCTTTCACTGAGTTGTCTGTTGTGAGTAGGCGACCAAACTTGCGTTGCATAGCTGAGCTTCGACATCACCAGCGAAAGATACAGTGTACGTCGGATGTTGATGTCTGTGAGTGAGTAGCAAGTCCTCTTAAGCACGCCTAGCTGCCTATTCGCTTTCGATACCATTTCGTTGATATGTAAGTTCCACTGTAATTTACTGGAGACGATTACGCCAAGGTCTTTTTCGTCGTCAACTCTCGACAGCTCTGTCGACCCGAGGTGATAGGGAAAAGAAGTTGGGGCCTTCTTGTGCGTCACCGACAATACTTTACACTTCGACCCGTTGAATTTAATGTTGTTATCCGATATCCTGACTCCAAGTATCAAGGTGTGTTAAAGTTTCTTGCAACTGGTTGCGTCATTCACTGATGTTATGTTCTTGTAGAGCTTAGTATCGTCTGCAAATAGTGCTGGAATTGCTTTGTTGTTGACATCAGGAGCAACATTGGACAACATTGAACCCAGGATACTACCTTGCGGCACTCCGGATGTAACTGGGGTCCATTGCGATGTAGCACCGTCCATTACGACTCTCTGACGACGATTGTTGAGGTAATCAGCAAACCAATTTAACAGCCTTCCTGTTACACCGTAGCATTTGAGTTTTTAAAGGAGAATGGAGTGATCTACGGAATCAAAGGCTTTCGCGAGGTCGAGGTACGCTATGTCAGTCTGTTCGTTCGTATCAAGTTTTTGTTTTTTATTGAGTTTATTCGACAACTATTTATATTTACAAGCTTCTAGAGTATAATAAATGATCAAGAAACAACAATCAGGCTTTTCAAGAACTCAAAACATAGTTAAACTGTTTGTATCATAAAAAGTGGGCTCATTTGTGCACATGCGCAGATCGGACTGTAGCCGATCACCTTTAAAGATAAGTTTCAAGCATTGGACAACTTGCATGTTAGACTAAATTTTAATCTAAGTAAAGAGAAGGGAATCAAACACAACAGTTAAAAAGAACATAGGCCTAATGAAATTAGTAAAATTGCGAAATTTGGTTGCGAATTGTTGTAAAATACAGAAAATATAGCCTTGCGAAGTTTGCATATTTTCAGTATATTTGTATTACGTACGGAAATTGTTACCATTTTCGGCTCAAAAATGGTAACAATTTCCGAACGTAATACAAACATACTGAAAATATGCAAACTTCGCAAGGCTAATTTTTCTGTATTTTACAACATTTCGTAACCAAATTTTGCAATTTTACTAATCTTAATAAGTTCTTTACGGGAATTTACTTTTTTTTTCCTAAATCAAAAATTAGTCTAACATGCAAGTTGTCTATATTAAAGTATTCTAAGCAATTTTCCTTCTTACAACAGTCATTGTGCTGCAGAGTACTAAATTATGAGATACAGCGAACAAGCATAATTTCCGACTTCTCGAGCATAATTATAAAACTTTACAATTGCACTTTTGTGGCTATGAGTGTTACAAATTGTAACTCACAGTTCGCCTGCTGGGTTTTTCACTTTATTCAAGATTTCAAGTTATTTTAAAAGTGTTATTTAAGAAGGCGTGCGTGCATAGCTATCAAGAGCAGCTGTTATATGATAGTCTCCCTCGCAGACGTTCTTGTAGCTCTAACCCTCGCTAACTAGGCGTCTGCTGAAACGAGCTGCACATTCCATTCCCTCCGATCACAGCGAACCTTCTATACTGTATTTCGGAAAGTGATTTAGGGGCGGAAGAAATATAGCCCAGCGGAAAAGTAAAAAATCATGCACTTTGTGAAGAAAGCACCCAATTCACAGGAAGTGTAGACTTTAACATGATAATGAATCTTAGATATGGAGGCATCACCAAAATTGATGCTGACGGCTTAAAATTTAGGATTTCTTATATTCTCTTATTAAACTCTATTTACTGTTTAAAATTGTGAAATTACAGGTTCACATATAGCAAAAATGACTTGCATGATTAGAAAGCTTACAAAAAACTACATATAAGACTTTTAAACGGCTGATTGATTTTCCAAGCGGTTTTTCCAGTTATTGCTATTTAAAAACGTGATAAATAGGCAAAAATCCCGCCAAAGTCCCGAACACTAGCCCTAAAACATATTTTCAACCGCTCATAACTCCAGAGGAGTTGGAAGATCAAAGTAACTGCTTAAATGTCTTATATGCAGTTTTTTGTAAGCTTTCTAATGATGCATGTCATTTTTGCTATATGTGAACCTAGAATTTCACAATTTTTAATTGTATAAGAGATTAATAAGAGTATAAGAAGGCCTAAATTTTAAGCCGTGAGCATCAATTTTGGTGATGCCTCCATATCTAAGATTCATTATCATGTTAAAGTCTACACTTCCTGTGAATTTGGTGCTTTCTTCACAAAGTGCATGATTTTCTCAAATATCTGTGCATACCGCTGGACTAATAGTGTTAAACTTAAAAAGATTTAAACATTTCTGTGCGTATACGGCACGTATGAAAAACGCGTGATTGGAGAGCAGCCTTTAGCGAGGGTTAGACTAGCTATAAGAACGTCTGCAAGAGAGACTACTGTTCTGTTATGATATTGCCTAATGCAGGGCCCTTTTAAAAATTCATCCGTGAAAGTTTATTCAGAATGACAACGTCGTTCAGGATACCCCTGGAACCACAAATTTATATTCAAACTTATTGTTTTGTTTGAAGAATTTCTTTGCTTCAAAAGCGGTGCCTTGAATTTCGCGTGGTGTTTCTAAATCAATCTATTATTGGCTTTATTGCTGGCAGTTCCACATTTCCACTATCCACTTAACCCCACTACAACCATTGAGATCAGTTATTAAGAAACTTGCCCGCGCTTTCTGTTTCAGCGGTTTACTTCTTTAATGATTTATTATGTAAGCAGCTGTGTATTTACTATTTATAAATAAACTTTTCTAGACTAGACGAAATTTCGGTAAATCGTACATCAAGAGGCATTTCTTAGTAAAAGTTGGCGATCGTAGTTTTCTAATGTTATTTAACACGCTGAATTCGAAAATGATGGTCGCCAGATCTCAATCTGCAGTTAAAGGGGCAATGTCACCGATTTTTGACCTAAAATACCGTTTATTCAAACACTGAACTACAAAGTTAAAAATAAACATTGTAAATGGATGAAGTTATGATATACGAGTCATATTAAACAACTTTGAACTTCCACGAAACATGTAATATGACATTTTCATAAAAATTGACTAAAACTTGAAAAAGTGTCTGCCAACAATTAATCAAGATGCCATTCACAATCCATCTCAATCCTGGCGTAATCTTGCCCATCCAGACTTCTGTACATGTTTTTTGTGTCTGTTATTGCTTTATTTTGTGCTTACACTCATTCTTTTTCAGTTTTGGGCAAAATTTGCGAGGGTTGGAATTGCCCAAAAATCGGTGACATTGCCCCTTTAAGTAGTCGAAAATGACGTCACAACTTTCGTCTACATGTGAAGTCACAGCACATTTAGATTCAAGAGAAATAAATATTTTAGATTTGTTACTCATCCAATTATAGCATGTTTAAGCCATTTTCAATCACAAATATCTTTCACCTTTATGTTGGCAAAAAATGCTCAAAAAATTCAATAAATGCTCATTATCATTAAATGTCTATATAACGTTGCAAAATGCATCTAGCGATGCTAGAAGCTAATGTTTGTCTTGAAATGTCTTCCACGCTGACAATTTGGAGTGGTTGGAGATATATGACGTTGTGTCACAACCAGCCAGCGCATGGAAAGGGAGGAGCGCTGATAGCGATCCCGCGGGAAGATTCTCGCTTATCGCCCTGATGTTAAAGAACTTGCGCCTGGCCGCTGTTCCTGCCATCATCCACACATTTGGAGAAGGCATACTTGGTAAATGCGCCACAAGAAGTAACAGTACGTCAGTATTTCTGGCAGACATAACAACCGTGTCACAACTGTTGACGATAGCATGTACAACCAATCTTGTATCAGCTTCTTCGTGATCTGCGCACAAAAGAGAAGGATCAACCAATTGGCTTGACGATTACGCTTCTTTTCCGTAGGAAAATCCACCTGCAACAACAATGACTTTCTCTTGAGGTGCATTTGCAATTAAATGTTCGGACAGAAATTTGGCAAAGTTTGCCTTGTTTTCCGGTAAAGCTAAGAAATTTGACCAGCTGTTCGGAAGTGGAACATTCTTGTTCTCAATTACACGACGAACGGGGTGAATAGTCCCGGTACGGTGTTCTCTCGTGCCTGCTTTGATTGAACTCGTCTCGTTCCTGTCGAATAGTACGTGAATTTGCTAATACCGCGAACCTGCTACCAATACGGCATCTTCGAATCTATCTTCATAGGCTCCGAAGGTCATGCCGTCAATCAGTAAACATCCACTTCCTTGCAAATCTATAGCACTCGGACATTCAATTCCCCTGGTGAGAACATCAGCCAGCGCTGCTTTCTGGCCAGTTCTAAGTTTACCATTCGTTTCCGCTAATGATATGGGTACGGACATTAGCTGATGCGACAAAACATTATGTAAATCTACTTCTCGACCAGCTCCGTAAGCAACGATAAGACGCTGTAAAACACTCCTGTCAGCCCGTAACATCGTGTTCTTTTCTTTCTTTTTGCCCCCTTCGGCGACTTGATACAACGAATCGAAAGTAATAGCATTGTTCTTGTGCATTGTATCCGTAAATTGAACCTTGGTCTCCCCTTGCTCGTTATTTGGTTGCTGTTGAAGTGGTCCAGTCCACCTTTGCTGTACAAAGTCTTTAAATTGTTTCTGTCCCATATTTCGCGCCTAACAGTGATCAGTCTTGAATCTCGAAGGTGGCCAAATCTTTCGTAGCGATGCTGAAAAGATATTCTGGATGGGATGTTGGTGAAAACACATCATGCTGCTCGAAGACGGAAATGAGTGATTCTTCATCCTTATTGTCGCGAACAATCCTTGCAGGCGCAAATTCGTTGTGACAATACGTATCCTCTTGAACTAGGCCAAACATCTCATGAGTTTTCTCAGCAATCTCCGACCGCAAATTATAAGAAAGAGCCCACCTTGGAAGCAAAAAATAATACATTTTACACCATTTGGTAAATATATAATTGTAGGTATTATTGTATATATTTTACAAACTGTTCCGTATTT